AAATCTGTTAAGTTCCACTATGGTGCTAGCTTACAAGCATGTATTTGAATCATTTTTGTGTTAATTCCAGTGCCATTTTGATGCTGTCCTTGAATCCATTTCAATACATCATCTTCTAGTTTCGGCCATTGCATTTATTCCTCTATTTGCGCATTTAGTCTTCCTAATTATTTTCCATTCTTCTTTGCTAGTGCACCAATCACAAATGGTTTTATCAGTTGGTGGAGGGTCAAAATACCACTTAGCTGCTCTGTTTCCATGTTCTTCTGCATATGCTTTTACTTTCAATTTATAGCCTGCATCATATGAATACCTTATTTTTACCATTGCAAAACTAGCTACTAAGAAAAATATTGTACTGCTACTGATAACACAAATCACTTTCATTTCAAGTTCACTGGCATCGTAGACTGCAATGACGCATCATAGGCTAGACAATGTTCTGGGTTTGTGATGGCAGGGTGCGAGGGAGACAGTGTTGCCAGCTGAATCTAATATTGCCAGGTTATATTTCCCACAACGTCGAATATATAACCATTTTTAAGACTGATGGGAATTTTAAAACAAACACTGTACTTTTTTATACTAATTTCGAGTATAAGACACACCTTAATTTTGGAGGCAATTTTTTGAAAAAAAAAGTGTGTCTTATAATCCGTAAAATATGGTGTGTGTGTATATATAGTAGGTCCTTCCTAAAAATCTTGTATTTTTGACTAATAGCAATATGCTATTTATTCTACTTTGTGCATTTGCCTAACCAGACCAGTTTGTATAGTTTTTTCTTACACCATTAATGTGTTTATGATTTATTTTTAACAAGCGGATGCGTCGGGAAATGAAACAGAGAAATTAAGTTTTTATCTAGGTTATTTTATCAGTTAAATAATCAAAAAGTTTCATGTACAGTCTCAATTCTTCTGTTTTGACGAAACACGATATGGAATTAGCTGGATTCGAAAATCATTATGCATTTCCCCTGAAGAGTCCATGATAAGATTCAAATTAGGCTAATTTACCATTTACCCCTTTTTGTAATTTTGCTTATGTCTTATGTAACTTTTGTATTTCTATTCAAATGTTTTAAGATAGTTTTAACTTTAATCAACATATTACTTCCAATTTGATTTAAGTTTTAAATACGCTTTTTATTTGTTACTACTCCCGTGATAATTTCATTTATCTTGTTTTTACAATTTTCATTGCACTATTATTTTAAATCGTGTTAAAATTATTCACCGGAACCACAGTATCACACAGACTTTTTAGCAAAAGCATGTAGAATATTCTTTTTAACTTGTTTTCTAATTTTTGCAGCTCAATGCACAAAGGTCTTTTTTAGTTTGTTCTCCTTTCTTAAATTACAAACTAAAAACTAAAACTATTTACTAAAGAAATATTGATTATATTATCTCCTAAGATTAATTTTAGTAGGATTATCTTAAAAGAGTGAATCCATAGTTAATAAGTTCAATTTCGAAAAACTGTTTTAAAGTAACTTGAATGTAAATTGTTAAAAATGTTTAACGGGGACTTGAATTAAATCATGAATAACAAAATTTCAATTGTAAAAAGAAATAAATTAAAAGCAAGGAATTAAATGAAATGCAAGTAATCATTGCCATTGATCGCAAATTAGTTGACTTTTCAAGGGGAACAAACCAACTCTCATTCAATGAACAATAATTAAGAAATAAATACGAAGGTGTTTCGTCCTTTACTCGAGTAATAAGGCAATGCCAAATCGGCAATTTAAGCTACGCCATACATTTCCGTGAATAGAAGGGATTAAGAACCAATGCAGAGAAACAAAGAACTCATTCCGATTAAGCATTTTAGCTAATTCTATTTTGAGTGAAAAGCAATTTCTGCAGTAAAATTGATATTGCTCGAGTAATTGTCCCCTGACACCCTCGTGTTTATGCATTTTAATTCAAAACTATTTGTAAAAATTAAACATTGGAAATTGGCATTATGAAATAGAATTCAAAGTAATTGAAATAAACATTAGAAAATTACAAAACATAAGAAATATAATGCAATCTTTGCAAAAACAAATCAAAAGATAAAAAATAAAAATTTTAATTTAAAAAATATATAATAAGAAAAGGGAATGTACATAAAGATATAAAAGGCCAGAAAAAGCATTAATTAACTTACATTCTTTCTAGTGGGAAGTGGGCAAAGTGTTTTCTTCGCATCTGACTCTGAAGGGTTCGTTTTCTGAAATTCTTTATCGGCAGCGGGGGCTTTGAATTATATCAGTCGGTAAGACTTATGTGAAGTAATTTATGGTAGTGGGAGGGACTAGGAATTCTTGAGGGACGTATGTTGTGGAGCTCTTATTTGAGTGAAACCGTCTGTGATTTTTTTTTTTTGAAATACTAGTGAATGGAAATTAATTAATTTCTGACTAATTGTCATGTCGTAATGATTAAGAAATTTAGAAAAGGAAAAAAGGAATTTTCACTGTCAAGGAGCTATTTGACAGACTAAAGATTATGAAATAGGCCCATTTTTTTAGTAATAGCGTAAGTCTGAAGACAATTAGCTTTTTACATTATATACAGCTTTGTAATTACACTATGTACAAATCCTTCAACTGATAGTCATCCAACTTATACCGCCTTCTCAGGTTTAGGAACAAATTATCATATCCCTATCAGTTAAATTTAAGTTTTATCAGTTGAATTTAAGATCATACACCATTATATATATATATATAATTGAAGAAAGGAGAACAAACTAAAAAAGACCTGTGTGGTCAAGAATTTTGTGTATTGTGCTGCAAAATTTGAAAATAAGGGAAAAAGGAAATTCTTTATGCTATTGCTTAAAAGCAAATGTGATACTGTGGTTTCCATGCATAATTTTTTAACACTATGTAAAAATAAATTGCAATTACAAAAAGTTTAAATACAAGAAGTATGAAATTCTTAACAAGAAAATTGACAAATAAAAAGTGAATGTAAAATTCAAATCAAAATTGAATGTTAAAATATGTTGATGGAAGTTTAAACATTCCTAAAACATTTGAAATAAAGACAAAAATTATTTAAAACACTAGCAAAATTACTAAGAATTGGTAAATGGTAAATTAGCCTAATTCAAATCTCATTACGGACTTTTCAAGGGAAATGCATAATGAGCTTTGAATCCAGCTAATTCCATGATGTGTTTCATCAAAACATGAATAATTGTGACTGAACACAGAAAAATTTTTTGACTATTAAACTGATAAAATTACCTAATACAACTTAAGTCTCAATTTGTCTCTTTCATTTCCCGACGCTTCTGCTGGTTAAAAGTAAATGAGAAACACATTAATGGTGCAAGGAAAAAACTATACAAACTAGCCTGGTTAGGCAAATGTACAGAATAAAATAATAGCGAATTGCTATTAGTCAACTTATACATGATTTTAAGGGAGGACCTACTTAGCTTGAAGAGTTAAAACTTTGTAAAAGTAGGAAAATAACTTTTTAAATTTAAACAATAAAGTGCATCATATTAGGTCTTGCCTATGACCAAAATTAAAACAAGGGTAAGAAAACATCTTAAACATACCTGTATCTATGACTTCTGTGAAAAGCTATGAGCTAAAAATTGCTGTTTGCCTCCAGAAAAAAATAAGAATTCAGCTCACCAATTAGGTGGGACGATGTAAAAGGGGGGAAAAAACATCATGAAGCTATGACCGATGAAATGTAACAGACAGTGGGCACAACCTGACTCAAAAATTGGAGGGGGTTTGATAGCCGTAGATGGTGGTAATTTGATCAAAATGGCGTCTTGCTCGAAGTAAATTCTAGAGAGTTGTTAGAAGGTGAATACAAAATGGCTAACTCCAAAAATTGGTAAAACTGGCCAGAAAGCAGTTGAAATTGGAATATATATACTGTAGAGTCATTAGGTTATTTCTGAAGCAGGAGAGATGAAAAATGTGCAATGCCTTCTCTGGGACCAAACCTGTACCTCTCAAATGTGTGCCGAGTATGCTACCATTACACCACAAAGGCATGCTAGTAGAGGAAGAAAATACCTGATAATATATAATAATAATAATAATAAAAGAAAAATGCAATGGAAATATCAACATATAAAAGTGAAGATGGTAACAAAGAAAATCTGAAATTCATTTGAAGGAAGTTAGATCATATTTGTGACAGCCATACAGTTTATTGATTATTTGCGTGAAGAGTAACATCAGTTAAATTTTGTAGACGGCACACATAGTGAGTTAGGGTTATTTTTTGAATGCTATAGCCATGAGTAAGCAAAAATAAAATTTGAGTTAAACTGTTTTTTCTATGAAGGTAATCCTGAAGTTGATGTGTCCAAATATTATTTAAAAAAAAGAATTTTGTTTTATAACAATAGAGGGGGGGGAAGGGAAAAAAAAAACAAGCACATAGCTTTTGCACAGTGTGCCTCATTATGAAAAAGACTCACTCCCCCCCAAAAGAGAGTCTTAAAATTGAACTCTGTTTTTCATCAAAGGGTTGAAGGATGCACAACTCTTTGCTGTTAGTTTGGATGAGCTGTTCCACAGATTTTGCCTAGATGAATCACATTTTTATAAAGATGTTAATTATAACAGTTATTTTATAAAAGAGTCTACATTACTGAAATAGAACTAAAAGTACTGAGCATCCAAATCAGCTGTTGAACTCCCAGAAATTCAGGTCATTGCCGAAACTACTTTTATGCCAACCAAATTTCTCAGAAGCAGATAAGATGCAAAAATGTTCTTGATAGTCAAATTAATAGTTAAAACTAGAATTAAAAAAAAAATATTTAGTACTTTTTCAATGAAAGAGATGTCATGATTGTTTTCCAATAATGTTTGTATATTATTTCATTAATAGTTCACATGAAATGTAATCCTATATAAATATGACAAAATGTGTTTTTGATTTAAATTGAAATACCGTATATATTTTTCTAGTCTAAAATGAATATATGTGAATCTTAAATATTGAATATTATTCTTTATTTAGATTTAATGTGTTGTCTCCTCAACAATACAAAACATTACCTCTACACCTTATACAAAAATCCTCCCCTGACTTTACTAGAAATAAAGAGAATGGTTTCCATAAAGAAAATTTCACATCTAAACATGTACAACAAGCACAGAAAGAAAACCTACCAGAATGTCGCTTTGTGGAAAGGAAGCTCTCTTTGGCCGAAATAGCTGCTATATGGAAAAGTGTCACTCTATCCAGGTATAGATCTATTTTATGCTTTCATAAACTTTATATATCCAGCAGTGTATTTTCCCTTTTCTACTACATTAAGAATTTTGGTATTGATAAAAGCATATAGTGTTTTTTGATTATCCACATCTCCCTGAAAAGTTGCCAGCTCATTTGTGACTTTGTGAAATCGTCGAGAAACTTTCGTATGGCTATCTTTATGCTTTACGAGAACTGTTCTGCTCATAAGAAATTAAAAAAATAAGCCTTTTCTGAGTAAAAAACAAAAGTCTGCATTGCCGATATTTATGTTTTTTTAACCAATGAATATTGTTCTGCCAAATGAGAGTTAAATGTAAAGCATATAAATGTGCATTCAAACATGTGTGTGATATGCACATGCATAATTTGGTTACTGTTGTATGTATGCTTGAAAATATACCAAAAAGATTGCTGTTTTAGATATCTAAAACTGTAATCTTTTTGGTATATTTTATCTAAAACAGCAAATGTAGATAATTAAGAAGCACCAAACGCTCTTTTTTTTTTTTTTTTTTCTTTCTTTTTTTTTTTTTTTTTGTGTGTGTGTGCCTTTTTAAATTACCTATAGAGTCAAGAAAAATGCATTAAAATATTAAAATACTTTAAGTGGTTGCAAGAAATTAAATTTATGCCTTAATTAATAATGGTTTTAGTTTACCAAATTCATTATTTTTTTTAATAATATTTACTTTTCATATTTCCTTGTTTTTATTATCAACCTCCATACTAACTTGAAAATGTAATAGTTTTACTCACCAGTAGTGGTTCCTACCACCAATTGTAGTGTTTCCTACTACCAGTAGTGGTTCCTACCACTACAATTGGAGATTTTGAGAATTTGTCTGTATTTTGGGGCTTTGGTGATTTTTTTTTGTGACATTTGAAAACATTTGGCTATAACTTTCTCTTTTCAGTATTAAAGCAAGTTACCATATTTTGATGACTATCATTTTATAATTATTGTGAAATGAATATTTCATGAAAAGTTACCAACTTCCTACTCCCAACTGGAGATCAACCTTCAGAAATTGTTGCCAGTTGACAAGGCCTAGGAACTTTCATTTATCTTCCATATTATAAAAGTGTATTACTGATTAAGAAAGGTAGCTAAGTGAATCATTTAAAAAGTAATTAATTTGCATCAAAAACAAAATTTTAAGAGTGCTGATGAAATTTTGTAATAACACATAGATTTCAGTCCTCTCTCCATATATAATTTTTAACACATTCGCTGCTGATCATGCACTGGTGCATGACTGACATTATTGCTGAAGAGCCAATCAACATTCATGTGCGTGGAGATGTCTGAGGTGCCAGTCATGCGCTAACACGGGAAAAGCTACATCTCGTTGTTTATTTTCAAGTTCAACTGGCAGTATGTTTTGAATATATATGCAGATACAGGCGTGGAGGGAAGGCTAGAACTAGTGTAAATTTATGAGATTTGGAATGGAAACAAATTTTCATTTTGCACAAAGATCATGCACAAATAACATTCTGAAATATATAGTCTGCAATAATATCAGTTTAATTATCTTTTAATAAATTAATTTTTAATATATATATTCATTTGTAATATAGTTTCATATCAAAATAATGCATATTGTTACTTATTTTGATTCACTTTTAAATGCCACGCCCCAGCATGTAATGTGGCACTGCAGAATTAATTTTACCTCTAGTGCTGATCACATGCTGACGAGCAGTAATAAAACTCTATGCTTAAAGTCTTAGTAATCAATATGGTACAGATAATAATCTTTTATTACCTCTTTTAAATCATACTTCTTATAATAAGTCGGCATATAGGTACAATCTATTTCTATGACACAGCATTAATTGTCAATACAATCTCATATGACAAGAAAAAGACAAAAATGTACTGTAAGTCATCTTACTAAGAAAACTGAACATTGGTATGATGATTGAGAAAAAACAGACAAAAACAAAAACAAAAAAATTAAAATGTATGACAACACTAAAAATTGTATCAAGAATTCTAAAGCAATGTGTTGCCACTCATGAAAGTACAAGATATTTATATTTCAAATCTAATCAGAAAACTCTCTCTCTTTTTTTTTTTTTTTTAAATTTCTAATGGCAGAGACAATTGTAGACATATAAAGACATTATAAAGACAACTGTAGAAACAGTAAAACTAAAAAAGAATCCACAGTATAGTCTATAAATCTCTTTTGTGTCTCGCCTCCCATTATCTTTCCCAGAGTGATCCATTAAGTTCAGGGCAATGACTCAGATCTAAGGCATCCATTTCCTCATGAAGGTTGCACTATTTACAAACTGAAGTTGGGATAATGTTCATTTGATGCAGATGTTTTAAAAGGCAATCATGGCCAGTAACAAGATGAAAGATAGCAACAGATTTCTTTCTTCCATAAAGAAAAAACTTGGCAGCTTGAAAATAGTGTAGCGAAGTATGAGATATTTATCTTTCATGTTTAATAAAAAAATTCAGCTATTTAAAAAAAAAAAAAAAATGTTGTTGCTGTGCAGTGCGAAGTGTTTTTATTTTCTATACACCAGTTGCCATTCAGCAAAGCATAAGATATTAATTTTTTAAAAATTACAGACTGTAATTAATTAACAGACTGTAATTAATTAACAGACTAAGTGATTTAAGAACAATAACAATCTTTCTGTTATTTTAAACTATTATCTAGACCAATGAAACACTAGCTGCAGTATTTATTACACTAGCTGGGTTTATCAAAACTATTATACAGTAGAATGTCCCAATTCCAGACACTGAATAGTAATAATCTAGTATCTGGACTCCTCTGGTTTACCAACAATTTTTTTGAAAGAAATTTTTTGCAGAAAGTGAAAATGAATTATATTCTGAGACTACCATCTTGCTGTAGCATATGCTTATGCTTCACATGTATGCAATAGACATTTTTTCATAATAAAGCATGTGAAGAGTCCTGATTCTTAATTTCAGTTCAGACTAAATAAAACACCTCTATGTCGAGGAAAACCAATTATTCTTTAGCATAAATATGAATGATCAATAATTTCATTCTACTGCGACATTTTTACTTGGCATACATCTCACTATAAAACATTCTACTTAAGTTTATCACTGATTTTACTCTTACAGAATAACTTATATAATTGTGATACCAACCTAGCAAATCCTTTTTTATTAATTTTTGCTTTCATCACTACGTGACTATTAACTTCTGTCAGTTTGAGAAATCACTTGTGCAGTGCAATATAGTGAATGATTAGAAACATCATATTACCTTGTTATTTGTAACTTAATAATTTCATCTTTTGATGATGCATTGTTTGCCTTTTCATCATTCTGATCTTGGTACTGATTTTGAATATCAGATTTCTTGTCTGTTAAGTTTATAACTTCTCTGTTGTCTAATGTATGATGACTATATTTGTATAAAAGATACTAATTGTATATATGAAACAGGAGCAGAATTCATTTTGTAGTGTTTTTTTTTTTAATCAAAATTAGGTGCTACAATTTTTTGTATCTCAGAAATGAGTAGCCTCTTGTACCCTACTACTTCCTAGTATCAGATCTATGAAGATTTAAAGGATACATTTTAATTAAACTTATTCGAAAGTTTAATAGAGAAATGGGCATAATTCATTCTTATGAGCTGCAACTGATTTCCCATATTTTCATTTCTATAAATATCATTTAAAAATATTTTAATGCTTGTATATCATTGTAACATTGAAATATAATACTAGTTAAAAAAGTGGCAAATTTGTCAAGTTGCAGTATTTCTTTTGATTTATTTAGTGGGAAAAAACTACTCTAATCAATAATGGTCGTATAAATTTAAAACGTTTTAATTTGGTTTCTGATGTTTTCATTGAGATTGTTATTTTATTTATTTCATTGAGTTTATCAAACATTTTAAATTTTATCAAATAATTTTTTAAAGTCTCAATTTCTTTGTAGAATGGAACATTTCTACCTGAAGCGTCCTTAGAGGTGGGTGGGTTTTTTTCATTGCTCCTGTTCTGTGGGGTGTGTCATTTCATTGCAGCTTCATGCTCATGTGTTTATCGCATAACATCAGGTTTACTTTATTAATTAATCAGCTTTTGGTGATGATATTTTCTGTTGTGATGACCTATTGAGTGATTCTGGAGGATTATTTTGTGTATTTCCATGGAGGAAATAGACTTCTCACAACTTTCAAATGTGGATGCTAAGGCAGTCTCTCGTCACCTTGTGGCGGGTCTGACCGATAAAAAAATTATAATGACCGCAATGAACTGTTACTTATGGACAAGTATTGTGAGTTCGTCTCTGCTCTGAGATATGCTGAAAAATTAGAAATTTACCTCAACATGCTGAAAGATGGTTACGTGAGCCATGTAGACCAGGTTCCGACTGAACAAGGAAAGCATGCCCTAAGGATTTTGTACCAACGTGTTTGAGGAATCGCCGAAAAACTACTTCAGTTATACCAAGATAAATGCGAGTCTTTCGGTAAAAACAATATCCTAAACTTGCAAAACTTGGTTTCTTTACAAAATGTTGGGTATGAAAATGAAAATGTCTCTATAATTCTTAAGGAAAATCTACGTAAAAAAGTTGATGAATATATAACTGAAAATGTAACTAATGCTAAAATTGATATGAATGTTATTAGTGACAATGTTGATGATAATAGCATGAATTCTACAGCCTCAGATACTGTTAAGCCTAAACAGCCTTCTAAAAAGAGCAGTAAACGTTCAATTAAGCAAAGTCAGGATGCAGATGGGTTTACTTTGCTCAGGAATGCTGCTCACCCATCCAAACTAGTTAAATGTAATACAGTACAAAGTCCGAAATCCAGACTTGTCAAGACTGCGGCGATTGCGGATTTGGGATTTTTTCGGATTATAGATCATCAATTTAAATCTGGTAATATGGCATGCAGAAATTATACAATTAAAAATATGAAACCGTAATTTATGGAATAAAGAGCAATTATGATCTAAAGGGT